CATGCCTTGGCTGTTGTAAATAATACTTTAATGAACATAGGGGTGTATTTATCTTTTCGAATTAGTGTTTTGGATTTCTTCAGATAAATACCCAGAAGAGGAGTTGCTGGGTCATTTTTCCAGGAACTTCCATACTGTTTTCCATAGCAGCTGCACCAATTTATAATGTCAGTGCACGAGGGTTCCCTTTTCTCGACATTCTTGCCAACACTTTAATCTTGCCTTTTATTGTCCAAGGTTTGCCTTTTGGACAATACCCATTCTGAAAGGTGTGAGGTGATATCTCATTATGGTTTTGACCTGCATTTTCCTAATAATTAGAGATGGTGAGCATCTTTTCATAGATGCTCACCTCTCCGTTTTGAGTTCTGTTTTCTAGAATTCCACGACTGGGTTGAATGAAGTCACTGTATAGGTCCTTTCCTTCAGAGATGGTTCTTAACTTCCCCAGACAAATAGAAAGAGGAAAAAAAGTATTAAACCTAAGGTAATGCCTATGAAGCTAATTTAAAAAAACTGCACTGGCTCTTCTAAGGTTCCCTTAAGTCTGTTGTAATTTGGGGATTTGCACTTTATTTCTTCACCTGGCCTATTTCCTGTTTCTAAGGGACTTTCATCACCATGGCAATATAAACAAATACAACTAGTTTCCTCTAGTTGGACTGCTGGCTTCCACCCTGAGCTCTGCCCTCTGTTTTCTCTCCCATGGCCACTCCCCACAACAAGTCAGTGAGCCTTCGCCTTTTTCTATGACCTGCTCCTCCCACCAGCATGCTCTCCTGGCCGCCCTCTCCGGAGGCTGTTGCACATTTGAATGTGTGAGCAGCTGGGGGTGTTTGCCACCCACACTTATAAGCTCTGTGTGGGAAGTAACCTCCCACCAGTGGAACTCACTTCTGAAAAGACTCCATTTTTTTATGGAGCTATATTCATTGAAAATTGGAATCTGGCCCGGCCAGGGTGGCTCAGGGGTTGAGCATCGACCTATGAACCACCAGGAGGTCAGGGTTCGATTCCCAGTCAAGGGCACATGCCCGGGTCATGGGCTCAATCCCTAGTGGGGGGCGTGCAGGAGGCAGCTGATCAATGACCTCTGTCATCATTGATGTTTCTTTTTTTTAAATTTCTTTATTGATTAAGTTATTACATATGTGTCCTTATCCCCACATCATTGATGTTTCTCTCTCCCTCCCTCGCCCTTCCTCTCTAAAATAAATAAAACAATATTTAAAAAAAAGAAAATTGGAATCTGTATAAGGAAATAGTCATACATTTTTGCAAGTAGAAATATAAGCTGCACAAAGCATCAAGGAAGTAGTGAGGCGTGTACAAGTTGGTACAAAATAGTGATCCAAAACCACAAATGACCTTGGGAAAATTAAGAATTCATGTACCTCGCAACCAAAATACAAACTACATGAACTGAGAGAACAAACAAAGGCTAGAAGATTTATAAATGAACAATGTACAACTATTCTTTCTCTTTCCTTCTTTTCATTCTCTCTCCTCTTCTTCCTAATAGAGTCTTAACTTGGAGTAAGATGTGATCATGCTTCCTGAAGTACAGACCTCCCTCACGGACGTGCTACCGATCAGCTGGGAGGAGACTGGACTCTGAGCAGAAACCCCTGGACTGTCCGGAGGCGCAGGTGGAGCCACGGCCTGAGCCGCGCCTTGAGAGCCTGGAAAATGGGTGGACGCTGCCTCCTCTGGGATGAGCGCCGTCAGGGTGGAAACCCTGTGGTAAGCGCCTCCTCCAACATGTGCTTCGCCAGGAGGAAGCTGCAAAAGGGAACTCAAAAGATTAAAGACAGATCGACCGCGAGAGGTGTGTTTACATCCTAGATGCGGGTTGAGTGAGTGTATTTTTAGGGTCGCAAGTTCTGGTCAAACAAGCTGAACATGAAAACATGAGTGTTGTCCTACTTCAATAGACCCGCCCAATCGATATTCCGTCTTTGAGAGTGGAACCGAAACCTCACTTATCATGTAAAGCTTATTGGATAAGTGACTATTTCAGTTCTCGCTATATATTGAATTGTAATAAATCAATACCATCTTCCCCATTACATTCACTTTCTACGAGGGCAGAGTCCCTGTTAAATCTCAACCTGGAGCTTTGAGAAAAGCCATTCTGGAGTTACACACACAGGCAAGCACTACCTTTTTAATGTAGAAAATATTTTTTCTAAATTGATAACAATGGGGTATATTCAGTTTGTAAAACTCTTTGAGTGCTGTAGTTTTTAGGTAAGATTTTCATAGGTTTGGTTTTTTTTCCTGTTACTTTTCCTGTTATTGGCTCTCACTTCCCTTTGCTCTTAGGGTAGAGCTTACTTATAGATTCTCTTCTCTAATACACTTTTTAAAAAATATATATATACATTTTTGTTGACTTTTTAGAGAGAGGAAGGGAGAGGGAGAGAGATGAAACATCAATGAGAGAAAGAGAGAAACATGGATCGGCTGCCTCCTGCACGCCCCCTACTGGGGATCAAGCTCGCAACCCTGGCATGTGCCCTGCCTGGGAATCGAACCATAACCTCCTGGTTCATGGGTTGACACTCAACTGCTGAGCTACGCCTGCAGAGTTCTAATACACTTTCCAATGTGCTTCAGGTAGATAATGATTGTTACATTTGCATCACACGTCACCAATTATAAAGTGCTCATCTGACCTCCCCAGTTGACATCACTGTCTGTCAGTCATAGCCCTAGGCCTGGTCTGACAATCAGAATACTTCACGCCCCTTACCAGTTCAGGGATGGGCACATGACCCTATCTGGTCCTATCAGAATCTACCAGAGTGACCAGGGAAGAGTTCTGCTGAAGTTCATTTTAATGCCATAAAAAGCAGGCCTGCCTGGCGCTGCCCCAGCCCATCGGTTGCCACATAAGAAGAGTAGCACCCAGGGAGACAGTTGAGAGAGAGACCAACCCGAAAGGACCTTTAGTATCTAACTAACCAAAGACGAGAGGTTTCTTACAGGCCCGGGACCCGGGGGCGAGACAAGGCTGTGGAAGATGAGAGGCCTCGCTGGGCCCGTGACTCGGGAAGGAAAGACATTTTGGGAGCCGACCGAGGACAGGACGCGCTTTGACTCGGTGGCTGTGCCCTCCGGGGGCTGCTCTCGGGAGCGCTGCCCGCCCTCCGGCCCAGGCAGGCTGAGCGTTAGGACCATCCTGGGGGACCAGCCGCCTCATTATGGGACTGACTCCTGAGCCGGACTGCAGACCCTCCCCCTTCCCTGTTACACGTTGGCCCGAAGCCGCGCGTAGCTGTGTCTCCCTCGTGTGCCTATAACCAGCCGCCGGTGAGGGGGTCAGGGCAGATGTCCGGGGGGGACCTGCCCCCCCCCCGCTGCGGCAGGATTGGAATGCGTGCTCATCGGGTCACCGTGTCGCTGAGGATTGGCTCAGGTGGTGACAGGCGGCCTCGTGCCCATTGCATCCAGTTTCACCTGCATGATAGGCCTTGTGTGGGTCTGTTTTCATCCTCTGCTGTCCCCGGATGGGACATTTCAATCCGGGCCCTGCTCAGGGCTCTGACACCAAGCTTGGAGCTACTGCCACGCACCCCTCGGGGCTCAGTGGCCTATGGGACTCACTGGCACGAACACCCTGCTCCCGCTGCCAGTGCCTGTGTGACGCCGCGTCACTCTCCTTAGAATTCAACTCTGCACGTCTGGCTGCCAGTCACCTCCCCACCCAGTCTGCTTCCTTTTTTCTGCTAATCCTCCTCCGAGGACATTTTCCCATTGAGTTTTGGAGAGAGTGGAAGGGAGACAGAGAGACAGAGAGAAACATCGATGTGAGAGAGACACATCGATTGGTCGCCTCCTGCACGAAGCCCTGACCAGCGCCAGGAAACCTGCAACCTGGGAAGGTGCCCTTGACTGGAATCCAACCCGGGATCCTTCAGTCCGAGTGTGATGCTCTATCCACTGGGCCACACCGGCTAGGTCCCACGTCAGTTTTCTTTAAAGCAGGTTTTTCCTGTTTGTTTAGGTCTCTCCTTCGTATCAGAGCATTTCCCCAGCTAACGCGCGGCCCCGGTGTTCTGGTGGGCGGCCGGTGAGGGGAGGTTTGCTGACATTGGGGTCCTTGGTTGGCGCACCCACAGGCAGTGCCGTTAGGCCTCATCTGATCTACCTGCTCAGAAGCTCAGCCCCCAGCTTTCTGTGGGCGCCGGGGAAGAGGATGGAGCCGCTGCCCAGCTGCTTGGGGCCAGTGGGTGATCTGGGCAGCGAACTGCACAGGAAGCAGACGCTCAACCCATTTGTTTGTAGTCCCTTCTCACCACACCTTCCAGAGGCGCCGGTGGAAACGAGCGCGCCAAGCTGCCTCTTGGGCGTCTCTCCACCGTTTAGGGTGCAGGCTCCCGGGTTTGCTGGCGTGGTTACCACGCACCCCTCCTGTCCTCCTAGTCCATAAGAGTTTTTGAAAAATCTTTTTTGTCATTTTAGGGAGTTTTGAAAGGGAATAAAATTAAATGTGGGTTTAATCCGACATCTCTTACTGGAACTCAAATTTGAATTTTCAGTGTTTTTTTGGTTTTGTTTTCTTAATTTTAGAGAGAGGAAGAGAGAGAGGGTGTAGGGAGGGAGAGAGAGAGAGAGAGAGAGAGAGAGAGAGAGAGAGAGAGAAACATCAATCAGCTGCCTTCTGCACAAACTGACCAGGGATCAAATTCACAACCTGGGTATGTGCCCTGACCCGAAATTGGCCTTTTTTTTTTTTTTTTTATAAATCCTCACCCAAGGATATTTTTCCATTGATTTTTATAGAGAGTGAAGGGAAGGGGGGAAGGGAGAGGGGAAAAAGAGAGAAATATGGATGTGAAAGAAACACATTGACCTCTTGCCTCCTGCACGCGCCCCGACCCGGGCCTGCAACCATGGTACATGCTCTTGACCAGAAATCGAACCCAGGACCCTTTGGGCCACAGGCCGACACTCTAACCACTGAGAAACACCAGCCAGGGCTGAACTTTCAGGCTTTTAATTTGGCTCCATGACGCAGCATCCAGGGTCAAGGATGAAATTCTTTTGAGTCACGCATAGTTTCAATCCCTCATCCTTTTACTTCTTTGTGTTTTTTCCATTGGCTTTCTTATCGCCGACCTCTTTGCCATCTCTTTCACTGTGTCCTATAGCATCCCCACTGCAACACGACAATAGCAATAATTATCAATAAGCTTTGACTTTTCCCTAGCCTCACATCCAATTCACCCCAAGACCCTGACTCTTCCTCCCAACTCTCTCTAGGGTCTGTCACTCTCCTCCCTCTGCACTTGATCCCAGCGCAAACCTTCGTTTCTCGCCTGGGCCGCCTTCTGGTCTTCCTGCCTCCGGTTGAGCTCCCCTCCATGTATTCTGATTTCCTTTTCTAAAATACAAATATGATCATGACACTCCACTGCTGAGAGCCCTTTCCCGGGGTTTTAGAATCTTTTTTTTTTTTTAATCCTCACCTGAGGATATTGTTTCCATTGATTTTTAGAGAGAGTAGAATGAAGGGAGGAGGGGGAGAAAGAGAGAGAGAGAAAAAAAAAAACATCAACATGAGAGAGACACATCAATTAGTTGCCTCCCTGACTAGAGCTGGGGAGCAAACCTGCAGTCGAGGTACCTGCCCTTGACAGAATCAAACCCACAACCACTCTGTGTATGGGCTGACACTCTAACCACTGAGCAACCAGCCGGGGCCCAGGGTCATGGTTTTAAATTTTGAATTTGAATGATTTCAGGTGAGTGTGTGTTCTCTTGGAGTCTTTGCAGGCGCCAGCACTCCCTCTTGTGCTATATTCATTTAGGTCACCTGCCTTGCTTATTATTATTATTTTTAAAATTTTCACCCAAAGATATATTTATTGATGAGAGAGAGAGAGTAACATCAATTTGCCTTCGGTAGTGCCCCAACCCCTAAGTATGTGTCCTGACTGGGACTTGAACCAGCAGCCTTTTGGTGATTGGGAGGGTGCTCCGAGCCACTGAGCCACCAGGGCCACCGGCCTTGCTTCTGAAGGCATTTGAGCTTTTGACCACCCGCTTTAACTTACATTGCCATAGGGTAAACCGCAAGCTCTGATCTACAAGACGCTTTGTTGTTGTTAATCCTCACCCAAGGATATTTTTCCGCCATTGATTTTTAGAGAGAGTGGGAGGGAGGGGAGAGATGCATCCCCGTGTTCACTGCAGTATATTTACAATCGCCAAGGCGTGGGAGGAACCTTAGCGCCATCAATAGACGAGTGGATAACAGTGGTGGCACCTGTGGACAGTGGGATGTTACTCAGTCATTAAAAAAACACACCTTACCATTGGCGACATCGTGGATTGACCTAGAGGGGATGATGCTAAGTGAAACTGAAAGGTCAGACAGAGGCCGAAAACCAGGACCACAGGCTTTATCGGAGGAGAAGGGCCTGCGGGCTGCCTCGCAAGGGGAGGACAGCAGCATGCAGGGTGGGCACGCCTTTTGAGGGGCGAAATGGGAAGGGGTGGGGGCTGAGTGTACTCGGCGCACGCTGATTGGTGGCTCACTGCATGGTCCATATAGGACAAGGGCTTAGGGGATTTGGCAGGTGTGGATGGGTGGTCCAATGTATAGTCCATACAAGGTACATGGTTAGTCACTCAGGTATTTCCGGGCTGCAGGTGACGTCATACTCCGCCCACCAGTTGGGGGAAGGGAGGATCTATCAGAAATAAGTCAGACATAGACAAATACCATATGATCTCACTTACATTGGAATCTAAAGAACAAAATAAACGGACAGACAAAACAGAAACAGACTCATAGACGCAGAAAGCAAACTGTTGGCTGCCAGGTGGCTGTGGGGGTGGAAGACGAGGTGGAAAAGGTGAAGGGGTGGAGAAGTACAAACTGGGAGCTTTTGCGAGGTGCCAGCTCTTTCCTCTCATGAGGGCGAAGGAGCGAGGAAAGGACCGAACAGCCGCAGACTTAAACTGTGGACACAGGCACGTCCTCGGCCCGAGCTCGCCTTTCATTTTGCTCCACCTTCTACGGAGTCCAGTCAGCTGGCCGCCTACTTCACTTCTGTTAAGAGAAAGAAGGACGCGCAGGCCACGCGGCGCCCGCAGTGCCTGAGGCAGGCTCCCGGACAAGGTTCGGGCCTGTCCCCCCCCCCCCCCCCCGGAGGGGAGGCGTGGCTGCCAGTGCTTCCCGCCTTCCGACCGGCTGCTGGGAACCGGGGAGGCAGCCTGGGTGCTGGCAGTGCCCCGCGGTGGCACCCAGCAGCCCGGCTGTGAGGCGCCTGCTGTGACAAGTCCTTCCCCGCCTCCCTGTGCGCTCTGGGCCCTGCAGCTCGCCTTCGTGTCTGGTCCCACATCTTGTACCTGCTCGCGCGGTCTACGTGATGCGAAAGAAGAGAAGCTGGACAGGGGGGAGGAGGAACTCAGAGTTGCCCAAGCTGCTGGTGTGAACGTGGAGGTGCCCCCGAGGCAGGTGGAAAGAAAGGAGCTCGCGTGTGGCACTGAGGGGCACGCAGGGCGCGCGTGCGAGGGCCTTGCCGGGGCCTCCGTCAGCAGCACCCCTTGGCTGCCCGCCGTCCTCCAGGCGGCCTTCCTGCCGAGCCAGTGGGACATCCATGGCTTCACCGTGAGCGCCGTCTACGCTTCAGAAGAGATCCATCCGGCGGACGGCTTCCTCTCGGTCCCTCGGAGAGAGCCACCGTCACCGCGCTCCTGCTGGCAGCGTCCTCGGTGCCTCTGGTTTGAACGTCATCGATCTCTTCTCCGTCTTCCCCAAGGTGCTAAGGGTCGTGTGAAGGCGAAGAGCGGTCCTCACCGCCAGCACCGGCCCGCTGAGCCCCTCCCAGGAGTGTGGATCTCCAAAATACACTTCTTCAGTGGCTGCCCCTCGCCAACTGCTCCCCTCTCGCCCAGTCTCCTCCCGGGCACCAGCCGGTTCCCGGAGACGGAAACAATTCTTCCTGTGCATTACAGCAAACAAGCACGCGAGCGGGCAAACTGAGCTGGTTACAGTGCAGGACAGAGCCCACCGGGCAGGCAGGACGCACCATCCCCAGCTTCCCCGACGGAATTCTAAACAGCCGCTGCTCAGCCAGCTACAGCCGCAGCCCCGTGCGCCGGCGCCGCCAGCAGAGCCCGCAGCCGCCCTGGCCCGATGACCCGGAGATCTACATCCGGGCTTGAGGGCATCAGGATTGCACTCAGCTGTGGACAAGAAGAAGGTGCTGTCGAAAGGGCACCTCAGGTGTCACCTTGTGAAGGTGGCACCCAGCACCTGGGTCCTGAGGCTTAGGAAACACTAAGCTGTTAGAATTCCCGGGGCCACTGGGGCTTGGATAGGCGGCGGAGCGGGAGGGGGAAGGGAGGCGGGCGCTGGTGTGTAATGTAGCTGATTCAGAGGACTGCAGTTCCAATAAAAGTCGCATCAGGTGACACATAGGAAAGGGCTTTTCTCTCCCCCGGCCCCATTCCCCTAGGAATAGTTTTGTGTATGTGAAAGAGCAGGTGATATTTTGGCTAAATACTTTTGTTTTACCAAGAAACTGAAATAACTTTGTCCAGGAAAAAAATTCTTTCTTTCTTTCTTTCTTTCTTTCTTTCTTTCTTTCTTTCTTTCTTTCTTTCTTTCTTTCTTTCTTCTTTCTTTCTTTCTTTCTTCTTTCTTTCTTTCTTTCTTTCTTTCTTGTTTTAAATTTTTCTTTCTTTTTTCTTTCTTTCTTTCTCTTTTTATCAAGAAACTAGAGGCCCAGTGCACAAAAATTTGTGCACTCGGGGGGGAGGGGGGGTCCCTCAGCCCGGCCTGTGCCCTCACGCAGTCTGGGACCCCTCGGGAGATAATGACCTGCTGGCTTAGGCCTGCTCCCGGGTGGCAGAGGGCATGCCCAACCCCTAGGTGCCTGCCCGGCAGCCCCTGGTCGGGCTCAGAGCAGGGCCGATTGGGGAGTTGGGGCACCGCCCCCTGTCATGCACAGAGCAGGGCGGATTGGGAGGTTGCGATGCCACCCTCAGTCACGCTCAGGGTAGGGCCGATTGAGGGGTTGGTGCACCACCCCCTGTCACACACAGAGCAGGGCCGATGGGGAGGTTGCGGCTCCACCCTGTCACACACAGAGCAGGGCCAATCAGGGGGTTGGGGCGCCTTCCCCTGTCACGAACAGAGCAGGGCGGATAGGGAGGTTGTGACCCCGCCCTCTGTCACACACAGAGCCGCAGGGCGATCAGGGGGTTTGGGCGCTGCCCCCTGTCACGCTGCTCCAGGGGCCAGGAGGCCTCGCGGCTCCGCTGATCCCAGTGCTGGGAGGCCTCGCTGCTTCACTGATCCCAGTGCCGGGAGGCCTCGCAGCTCTGCTGATCCCGGGTTCAGGAGGCCTTGTGGCTCCGCTGATCCCAGGCCGGGAGTCCTCGTGGCTCTGCTGATCCCAGTGCTGGGAGGCATATTACCCTTTTACTATATAGGATAGAGGCCTGGTGCACGGGTGGGGGCCAGCTGGTTTGCCCTGAGGGGTGTCCTGGATCAGGGTGGGGGTCCCGCTTGGGTGCCTGGCCAGCCTGGGTGAGGGGATGATGACTGTTTGCAGCTAGTCACACCCCCTTCAGGGTGGGGGTCCCCACTGGGGTGCTTGGCCAGTCTGGGTGAGGGGCTGAGGGCCGTTTTCAGGCTGGTGGGTGACTGAAGCTGCCAACCTCTCTTTTATTTCTTTTTTCTTTTATTTACCTTTTTCTTTTTATTTCTTTTTATTTCTTTTTCTTTTTATTTACCTTTTATGGCTGTCACTGGAGCTGAGACCTGTCTTTAGCTCTGAGGCTCGGCTCCAGCTCTGAGACCTCGGCTGCTGAAAGCAGGTTTCTGGACTTTGTTTACCTTCTGTATTTGAAACTTTGTTGCAACTCCAGCTCTGAGATCCCGGCTGACTGAAAGCAGGTTTCTGGGGTTTTGTTTAGCTTCTATATTTGTAACAATGTTTCTTAGAGAGCAGCTCAGAGCCCAGCAGGCAGGCGGGAAGCCTGGCTTCCTCCGTCACTGGAGCAAGCAAGAATCCATGTTCGCATCAGCTGCCTGGCTGTCGGCCGCCATCCTGGTTGGCAGTTAATTTGCATATCTCGCTGATTTGCCAATGGGAAGGGCAGCAAAGTTACGGCTAATTACCATGTTTCTCTTTTATTAGATAGGATAGATGGAGGATTGTCCTTACATCCCTGCTGAAACATTCCATTGTTAAAATGTGCACTTTTCTAGGCCTGACCCTCCAGGTGTCAGCGGACTGTGCTACTGTATGTTTTATGAGCGTTAGTTAGGTTCAGACAAGGCCCACAGGAAAAGACTTCCCATGCATTTGCAGATCTCAGCCAAGTTCTGGGTACATTCTTTCTTACATCCACTCACATTGTATTGCCATCACTTTTCCACCATTCTTCAACTACTATTCACATTCATTTATGATTTCTGTAAACATTTTTTTAAAAAAGTTGGGATGTCAGTTAACATTTTCTAAGTTGAGTCAGGGAAGCAAGCCATGCTCAATATTTAACAATCGCTTGTATGTGTGTGTGTAAGAGTGTGTTTTATTTGTCATGTATTGGTATAAACAGATACAGAAGAAACTTACAAACAGAATTGAAAATAATGTACCCATAGTGTTCAAATTTGTACCTGTCTCACAGATTTTGTGGTGTTGGCCAATCATGGTAATTTACATTATAATTCCTGCTGTTCAAGAAAAGCACACTTTTTTCCTAAAATGTTTTTCCCTGTGTATCCTATTATGGACACTCGTTTTGTTAATATTTTTTCTTTTTTCTTTTTTAGAATATAGCAGTAATGCTATTACCAAAATAAATGATTTTTTTTCCTGAAATGTAATCATTGATGCCTGAATGATAGAATTTTAGTACTATAAACAGGCTTTAGTAATTTACATGAGAAGAAACACTTAGAATGGACTACTAAGTGTGCCTAAATGAATTTTGCAGTAACTGGTATTGTTGCTTTTGTCCTACTTAATGCACATTAATTCAGAACTTGTATTCTGTTAATGAGTGTGATAGTCTGTTGGAGTGACCAGCAACCTTGATGTTTGCACTAAGATTTTATTTGGTATTGAAAGCAGTTCAGTAGTACATCTATAACTAATTTATTTGAAATATAGTTAAAGAAATCTTCCAGTTTCCTCAGATGCCTTTTTAAAACTCACCACAGATGATTAGTGAAAATGTGAGTATCATGCCTTTGTTCTTGCATGCCATCTACATAAACAGCTTTGTACAATGAGAAATACTAATTTGTTTGACATTCCATGTTAAACTACTGCCAAGTTCAACTTCATTGCATGTAACGTAGGCCTCGTCTATCAGATCATGTGTTCTGGAGAGTGTTCTTTATCCTATAAAGTTTTAATTTAGTGGGCCCAGCCGGTGTCGCTCAGTGGTTGAACACTGACCTAGGCTCAGGGGTTGAGCATTGACCTATGAACCAGGAGGTCATGGTTTGATTCCTGGTTAGTACCCATTCATGGGTTGCAGTCTCAATCCCCCATGGGGGGTGTGCAGGAGGCAGCCAAACAATGGTTCTCTCTCATCATTGATGTTTCTATCTCTCTCCCTCTCCCTTCCTCTCTGAAATCAATAAAAAAATATGTTTTGGTGTTTGTGCGCAGAGATGGCTGAGCAGGCATGGAAGTAGGTGCTGTGTATGTCTGGGTAACATCTGACCACCCACTGCTGAGGCAGTTTTCAGAAAGCCTGTAATTGATCAAACGGTTCAGGTAAGTGGGGATAGACAGTGCAGCGACCCACACGCCCGAAGTAGGAAGCCCTCCTGCTTATCGAGGGCAGAGCTGCATGGAGAAGCATGGTGTTTCCATGAATCATGTTGCCCGGCAGGTTCCTGAGGAGGCCTGTCACATCGATGAGATGCTGTGTATGGATGAGAGCAACCTGAGAGACTGGACTAGAAAAAGTCATCGTCAATAGCAGCAAAGCTACACTTGAACTACTTGGGAGCTATGACCCCCAGAAGCAGCTCATTATTGAAGACCTGTTATGGGGATGAGTGCGGGGATGAGTGCGGGGATGAGTGTGACGCTGAGGCCGGGCCCGGCAGTGTCTGAGGGGCTGCAGGGAGAAGGCTCACCAGCCAGCCGCCCCAGCCCAGGGTCACCTCCGTCGCTCAAGGCCAGTGCTGGTACTTGCGTCCAACTGCTGTTTCTTACCTTAGAAATAATTGTGGATGGAAATCCGTGGTTGTGTTTGGCAAAAAAATAAATATCTGACTCGACAGTTTATGGGGCACATGAAGTGTTCTTACGCCAGTGAGGCCTCTTGCTTTGCTGCAGTTACAGACGAAATCGTAGAACAACCAAGTAGAACCTAATCCCTCTGTCAGCATGGGAGCCTCTTACGTCACCTGCCCTCCCTCTTCCCCGAGTCTGGGAGAGTGAGGACGAGCTCCCTGCCCCGGCCTCCCTGCTCCAGGTGACAGAGGCCCTCCCGCGGGGCTCACAGCCCAGGAGTGTGTCCATTCACACCGTGTTTTTGTAGGAAAGAGAAAGGCTGATGGAATAACAATCCTTCCTAGTTTGTGTCTAGCTTGTAGCATAAGGGAGTCAGCTTATGTGTTCTATTTGAGCCACAATTATATCCAGAAAGAAGGACTCATTAGCTGCTTTATCTGTGGTTGATAAGAGTTGGAAAATTTTTATGTTGAAATGCTTAAATATTGATGTGGTGATACGTATTCTTCAGTGCTTAATTTATCGGTAATTTCTGTGTTCTTTCAGATAACTAATCTAAAATTCATATGGCTACATGTCAGAGAAGATGTCAAAATAAACTGGGGAAATTGTTAAAAAGAAGCACAAGTTGGGCCTGGCCCGGTGGCTCAGTTGTTTGAGTATCGTTCACTACACCAGGTTGTGGGTTTGATCCCTGGAGGGGGCATGAACGGGAGGCAGCTGATCCATGTTTCTCTCTCACATCAATGTTTCTCTCTCTCTTTCTCTCTCTTTCTTCCTCTCTTCCTCCGTTTCTCTCTCTCTAAAAAATCAGTGCAAATATCCTCCAGTGATGATTTGATGAAGAAGAGGAAGAGGAGGAGGAGGAGGAGGAGGAAGAAGAAGAGGAAGAGGAAGGAGAAGGAGGAGGAGAAGAAGGAGATAGCCTGGCTGGTGTGGCTCAGTGGTTGAGTGTTCACCTGTGAACCAGGAGGTCAAGGCTGGATTCCCAGTCAAGGAACATGCCTGCCCAGGTTTTGGGTTTGATCCCCAGTGAGAGGGCGTGCAGGAGGTAGCCAATCACTGATTCTCTCTCATCAGTGATGTTTCTGTCTCTCTCTCCCTCTCTGAAATCAATAAAAATATATATATTTTTAAAAGATAATTGTGTCTGCCTCCCTTTAGAGGGTTGCTGAGAGGATTACATGACATAATTCGCATAAAACACTGAGCACACGCCTGGCACATAATACGCATTCGATAAACATGAGTACTAACCCACTAAAAACTATCGCCTGCCTACCCTCTGCTGAGACTGCTCTGGCCAAGGTATCGGTGACCTTGTAGTTGCCTGAAAACGTCCAAGATCAGTTTTCAGTCTCATCTTCTTGGGCTGCTGTGACACTTGACATAACTTTTCCTTGCAATCCCCCCCTTTGGTGCTGGACCCCACTTTCTGCCTGTTATCCTCGGCCTGTCTCTTCCTCTTGGCATTCTTTGCCATGTCTTCTTCCTCTACCTGCCTCCTACACGTGCTCTTTCTTGAGTTCATTGCTCACCCCTGCTCCGCCTGCCTCAGCTACACCTACCGTCCTGGGAGAGCATGTCTGTCCCCGTCACTGTAACTGTCATCTCTACGAAGAAGACACCTTTTCTACCGTCATTTCTGAGCGCACCCCTAACGCCAGTCCTGTGCCGCCAGAGGGGTGCTTACAATGGACTGAACCTTTGTGGCCCCCCGAAATCACATGTTGAAACTTTACTCCCAACGTGATGGCATTTGGAGGCTTTGGGAAGGTAATTAGATCAGAATCCCTTATGAATGGGATTAATGTTCTTTTTGTTTGTTTGTTTAAATATGTTTTTATTGGTTTCAGAGAGGGAGGGAGAGGGAGAGAGAGAAACATCCATGATGAGAGAGAACCAGTGACCAGCTGCCCCTGCACGCCCCCCACTGCAAACTGGGCATGCGCCCTGACTGGGACTCGAACCTGCGGCCTTCTGGGTCATAGGGCAATGCCCAACCACTGAGCCAGCCGGCCCGGCGGGTTAATGTTCCTATAAGAAGACCCGAGGGAGCTAGATAGCATTCTTTTCTGCCATGTGAGGAAACAATGAGAAGTCAATCGTCTGCAACCCAAAAAGGCCCCCAGAACCTGGCCATGCCGGCACCTGATCTCAGACTTCTAGTTGCCATAAACGTGAGAACTAGGTTTCTGTTGATGAGCCGCTGTCTCTGGTGTTTTATTACAGCAGCCTGAGCTGGTAAAAACAATGCCAGGAGGCATGTCCCCACACCCCGTCTCTGGTAACCACAAATCTAATCTCTTCCTCTGTGCGTTTGGTACCCAGTTAATGTTGATTACACTGGACTAACATTCTGTACAGGGAGGCATGAAGGAGGGGGAGAGAGGATGGATATTAAGAGCAAGGGGAGGCAGGAGCTCAGGGTGGAGAGGTTGCGGGCTGGCACCTGTATACCGATCTATGGAGCTTGAATTTTTTTTAAAAATATATTTTATTGATTTTTTACAGAGAGGAAGGGAGAGGGATAGTTAGAAACATCGATGAGAGAGAAACATCGACCAGCTGCCTCCTGCACACCCCCCACTGGGGATGTGCCCACAACCCAGGTACATGCCCTTGACCGGAATCGAACCTGGGACCCCTCAGTCCGCAGGCCGACGCTCTATCCACTGAGCCAAACCGGTTTGGCGGAGCTTGAATTTTATCCTAGAAAACAGGAAGCATCAGGACCTTCAAACTGGGGAGTGAGTGACATGAACAATTTTTGGTTAATCCTCACCTGAGGATATCTTCCCACTGATTTTTAGGGAGAGTGGAAGAGAGAAGAAAATACAGAGAGAAATATTGATGTGAGAGAAACACATGGATTGGTTGCCACCTGCACATGCCCCAACTAGGGCCCAGGCAAGGGAGGCTCCTGCAGCCAAGGTATGTGCCCTTGACCGGAATAAAACCCGGGACCCTTTGGTCCACAGGCCGATGCTCTATCCACTGAGCCAAACCTGCTAGGGCCAGAAATTTGTTTTAAGAAGCCAGTCTTAATAGCAGTATGAAGGATATATTGGATGGGGAGAAGACTGGTATACGAAGAACATTCTGAGGGCTGTTGCAATAATGCAGGAAATAGATTTCAAAAATGTGTTCATCAAGAAAGTGACAGTGGGTATAGACAAAAGAGCTAAGTTGTAAATAATATTTCTGAAATGGTCAATTTAATTCAGAGTGGTAAAATGATGATAGCAATCAAGGCTAAGATCTCTTGGTTTTGGGCTTAGATGCTTGGTAATACCATTAACTAAAATACACAATACAGTAAGGGAAGAGGGGTTGGCTTGGGGGCACTGGACACAGAATGAAGGGCTAATGAGACAGCAAGAATAGATGTACCTAGTCACTAGATGGTGTCATAGGCCTGAGGGCTTTGTGACTTGGTGGTTGTCAACACACAAATGGCTGCTGACCCCATGATTATGCGTGAGATAATCTTCAATGGAAGAAACAGAACCAGGAAAAGTGGGAGCCAAGGAAGGAAAATATGGAGAAATAGTGAGCACTCAACAATATCAAATACTGGAGAGTACTTGTTCTAATGTTTGTTTTATACAATTTCTCAAGGTGTTTGGTGGTTTTCTAATGACACAGACATTCTGGTGGTCTGGGACCCGAGAGTCTGTGACCCAGTGTCGGTTCTTGGCTTCGTGCAGAAAAGAATTCAAAGACGAGCCAGCATCGAGTTTAAACTGAAAATGAGTTTATTAGTGAGTCCAGGAAGCACAGGGAGTCCCAAACAAGAGAAACCCAAAGAGGACCACACCAAGACACATCATAATTAAAATGCCAAGAGCAAAAGACAAAGAGAGAATCTTAAAAGCAGCAAGAGAAAAACAGTTAGTTACCTACAAGGGAGTACCCATATGACTGTCAGCTGATTTCTCAACAGAAACTTTGCAGGCCAGAAAGGAGTGGCAAGAAATATTCAAAGTGATGAATAGCAAGGACCTACAACCAAGATTACTCTACCCAGCAAAGCTATCATTTAGAATTGAAGGTCAGATAAACAGCTTCACAGACAAGAAAAAACTAAAGGAGTTCATCACTACCAAACCAAGATGGCAATGAATACTTATCTATTGACAATTGAGCTTAAAAATCAAAATAAACAAACAAGATATCTAATGAACAAAATAAACTGATAAGCCCTGGCTGGTGCTGCTCAGTGGTCAGAGTGTCAGCCAGCACACCAAAGGGTTGTAGTTTGATCCCCAGCCCCAGTTGGGGCACATGTGGAAGGCAACCAATTGATGTGTCTCTCTCATATCAATGCTTCTCTCTCTCTCTCTCTCTCTCTCTCTCTCTCAATAAAAAATAAACTAATGAATAAAATAGAACCAAAGGCATGGAAACATGGAACAGACTGATGAATCTCAGAGGGAAGGGAGCGGGGGGGGGGGGGATGGGAAGAAATTAACCAAAGAATTTCAATGCATATATGCATTACCTATGGACACAAGCAATAGGGTGGTGAAAACCTGGGGCAGAGGGGGAACGAGGTGGAGGGGGCAATGGGGTCAAAAGGGATGACATATGTAATACTCTCAATAATAAAGATTTTTTAAAAATAATTTAAAAAATAAAAAATTTCTTTTGTGTAGGCTCTGGCTGGTGTGCTCAGTGGTTAGACACTGAGCTCACACACTGAAGGGTAGAAGGTTTAATTTTTGATCAAGGGCACATACCTGGTTGTAGGTTTGATCCCCAGCCCTGGTGGGAATGTGTACAGGAGGCATCCAATCCATGTGTCTCTTTCACATCAGTCTCTCTCTCTCTCTCTCTCTCTCTCTCTCTCTCGCTCGCTCTCCCCTTCACTTTCACTCTCTGGAAAATCAATGGAAAAAATATTCTTTTTTTCTTTTTTATTTATTTATTTATTTTTTAAAATATATTTTATTGATTTTTTACAGAGAGGAAGGGAGAGAGATAGAGAGCTAGAAACATCGATGAGAGAGACATCGATCAGCTGCCTCCTGCACATCTCCTACTGGGGATGTGCCCGCAACCCAGGTACATGCCCTTGACCGGAATCGAACCTGGGACCTTTCAGTCCGCAAGCCGACGCTCTATCCACTGAGCCAAACCGGTTTCGGCGAAAAAATATTCTTGAGTGATGATTAACAAAAGAATTTATTTCGTGTGGGATTTTATACATAATACTAGAGGCCGGTACATGAAAATTCATGCACTAGAAGGGTCCCTCAGCCCGGCCTGCCCCCTCTCACAGTCCAGGAGCCCTCCGGGGTGGGAGGTGACCTGGCGATCAGGGGACGGTGATGTCCCATCACACCTCTGCTGCTGCCACTGCTGGCAGTGCAAGCCTCAGCCGGCCCTGGTCACCTGGGCAGCCAACACTTGTGGCTGTGGGCACCCATCTTTGAGGGCATGGCAGTCAGTTAGCATATTCCCTCTTTATTAGATAGGATTCACATTGTGAATTTCCCAGAGGGAAATATTCGTTCATTCATTCAGTTCAACAAATACAGTGGGGCCTTGACTTATGAGTGTCCCGACTAACAAGTTTTTTCGAGATACGAGCCGTCTCTTGGCCGATATTTCGCTTTGAGTTGCGAGCTAAAATTCGGGTACGAGCCAGCTTCAGATACCCCACCGCTAGTTGGTGCAGCGAACGTCACAGTGATTTGACATACGAGTAA